CACACCATTCCAAGCCCAGGAAACAAAGCCTTTCACTTGCAACGACCTGCTTAGGATGGAACCACAAGGTGTCTGCCAATACACAACAATAAACCTGCTTCAGTCCCCATCGGTCTCTTCCAAACCTAAATCTTGGATCATCTAACAGCATAGGTTATACACATCCTGCATTTCCAAGCTACAGGGCCAATCAGCATGTTAGGAACTTCTTAGAGTGAAGCTTCTGTTCCCGCCTCTGGTTCCCACCTGCTTCACTTATATCTTGTAAGCCCCCTGGGAGAATAAAGCAAAGTGGAGAGTAGTGACTTTCAGCCCAAGAGGCTGCTGGGAGCCAGAAGGAAAGTAAGTAAACAAGACTGCAGGAGGAAAACCAGACAGCAACAGAAAGAACAGTGGAGGGAGGGAACAAGGAGGGGCAAGAGCTCAGAGTCCAGCCAGAAAGAGGGTGGAGGGAGCAGCGAGCTGGAGAGAAGACCGAGCTGGGGGAGGCAGGCAGGCAGCTGACGTCTGACTGAGATCCGCGATTCCGAGGTGAACGTGAACTGGAGCCTGTCTGAGCTAAGCAAGGAGAGCCTGCCTGCTGCTGGGAAGGAACACAGCGCTGTCCCCGAGGAACAACAGAAAGAGAAGAAAATGCACAGACAACACATGAAACGACAGATAATCTCAGATGACAGAGTAACTCCCACCTCTAAGGCCCCAACTTTTGTCCGGTTGCACGGTAATACTGGGGGGATCAGGGAACTGGGAACTTAAGGGCGGGCAGATGAAGTTAGAAAGAAATGGGGGCAAAAAGCAAGAAATAGACGCTCAGTCCCTCAAAGTCTTAGACTAAGAAATTATATATATTATGACTTCATAGGAGTAGCATTTCTGGCAGCCCAAGAGCAATCTGAAGAAAGTTAAGTAGAGTCCTTTTTTTGATTAGGGATATTGTGCTCTGAAATCTCTCAAGTCAAAGTGATTTCCCAAGTCTTGGAGTCTTTGCCTAAATCGGGACTCAGATGGGATTGGCTCTGGGCATAAAGAAAAACTCCAGGGGCTGAGATCTAATTCTGAGTTTGCCACGGCTAGTCTCTGTAGTGTGTGGCACAGATTTTACTACAGGGAAGAATCACAGTGAAAGCACTTGGCCAGGGGGCCCAGCATGGGAGTGGGTAAACTATTCTAAAAGTGTGTCCCTTCAGTATTCTGGGCCACGGCTCTCAGTGTATTTTTCCCTTGGAGGTAACACTCCTCCACCCACCTATCACAGTAGTCATGAGAAATAAGTAGGCTGGGTTGAAGAGTATTTTTAACTGTGCAATTAGAGTAATGCTGAATCATCATCACCATCACCATTGCCATCACCATCACCATCAACTCTTACTCAGGGAGCTGGTTTTCTCTCATCTGTGAAATGGGGTTCTGGACCCAAGCAAGGACAGCAGCAGTTATGTAGGAGGGTTCTGTCCCCTTGTCCCACCATTCTAAATGTACACGTGTGCACTGCTGACCCTCATGCCAATGTACCTTAGATTCCCAAAACAGACAAGGCACGGAAGATATAAGACCAGTACTGACACATAGACTTCCCCACTGGCATCACTTAAATTGGAGACACAATACATTGTTATTCATTTGAGTCACCCATTTATTTATTCAGTAAGTATTTATTGAGTACTTACTATGTTCAAGGTCTTGGGCTAATAGTGAAAACCTCAATCATGGGTGCCAGTGCATGCTTTAAGGAGGCACATTAGTAAGTTTCCGATTCCCACCTCTGCTACTCTAATGGGAACAGTCATTCAGAAGGAAACTGGTGAATGAAAGGGGTATGTTGTCCTTTAAAATGCTGGGGATCCTAAAGATACTGGAACCCAAGGGAAAAGAAACCAAGAATTAAGAACTCCCAAGGTAATGGAAGGCACACAGAAAGATACTGTTAGTTTTCCAGCAAAGGTGTTAGAAGTGCTATGAAAACATGAGATCATTCCATTAGTTTTAACTGGACACATCTGTAGCTTTGTCAACCAAAGAGTCCCGCATTATAAGGCTCTTAAGGGTGCACGAAATCGCCCCCAAATGTACAGGTGTCACTATATTAAGAAATCCAATTAAAAATGCAACTCAGTGAGTACAAATTGTACCACCAGCACAAGCATTCATTTCCAACTTGCTACACTGTTGTTGTTGTTTTAGTAACGTTGCAGGTGAGGGTGTGAATACTGCTTAGGTGAGCCACCCTTGGCCAGCAATGTAGAAATGAATCTTTCCCCCTTAAGTTCTGCTCCACAACCACAGATACAAAATGCATGCTCTGCAGAAGGCATGTAGTGAAGGTGTGTAGAAAGGCTGGGCTCCATGGTCAGAGAGATCTAAGTTTAAAGCCTGTCCCATCTCAACACTTATTGACTCCATCATATAGATGAGTTACTTTGCTTCTTTTAGCCTTAGTCAGTCTCTCAGTCCTAGTTAACTCATCCTTAACATGTGTATACTGCCTAGTAAATGGATTGTTTTGGAGTAATGAATATAGGGCAACTAACTTGGATCTGGAAACACAGAGGGTGACCAACATATATTGATTCCCACCATCTTGCAGACTTCCAGAACTTCAGCCTCTGGACAGGTTACTCTCTTCCTTGGCCTATTTGTTCTTACCCTGTTTGGTTGCTACTGCCTCTTCATTTACAGATGTTGATCCTAGTTCTCACAGGAGAAGATGCTCACTCAGACTCTTTGCTTCATTTATTATATAAATATTTATTAAGCACCTTCTATGTGTAACATGCTGTATTAGGCCCAAGACTGGATACAAAAACGAATCAGATATCAACCCTACCTGCACGATCTGTATAATTTTGGAGGAATTCCAAACTTGCAGTACAAAGTAGAGTGATGCACAATTTAAGGAAGGCAGATAAAGCACTGTAACTCAGAGAAATTAGAAATTATTTTCACCTGGGACAATCGGAGGAGCCTTTTTAAAGTAGATGCCAAAGAAAATAGGTTTCAAGGATGAATAGGGCTTGGATGTGTGAAGATGGGTGAAGGACATTATCAATAGAGTTACTGTAGGAAAAGGAATGTATGCAACAAAGCAAAGAGGTTACAGAAAGAATTCCAAATAGAGTTCTGTATCCGGGATATGGAGTGACTGAAGCAAAGAAAAGACAAAGCTGAAAGGCATATTGACATCAGACTATACAGGAATTTAAAGGCCAGGCTAACAAATCTGGATATGATCCACACACAATGGGAAGTTACTGAAGGTTCCTGAGCAGGGAAACAATATGACCAGTATGACCAGAGCTGTCTTCATCAATTTTTCTATGTGAGGATCCTCCCCTCACTAAGGGTCCTGTGGTTTTAATGTCTTCATTTCTTCCCAAGGATCCTGCCTAAGAAGAATTTTTACTATTTCCACCTCAAAGTCCACGTCGCCTTTTCAGAGTATTCTTAAGTTTTCCTTTCCAATCTGAATCTGTTGACGGAATTGTGCTGATGTCATAAATAATCAGCATGATCTAAATTCAAAGAAGGCACTAACCTTTCACAACCCAGGTAATAATTGTTTCTACTTATCCACGTTCCTGTTGATAAGAATTATAATTAATCATCTGCTCCCACAGGAGTGGCCATTCAGAATTTATCATTACAGGGATACAATTTTACAAAAATAGAAGGAAAACTTAAGTATTTTGCAAAATTAGAGGAAGAAATGTCACCCCAGAGGGGGAAATAAAACAGCTACCTCTTAGGCAGTTTCTTAAAACACTACAAACTAGAGTTCCCTGAAAGCCTACAGAGACAGTATACTAATCATATTATAAATATGCAATTTATTGGAGATGATTTATTTAGTTATCAGTCCCCTCACTTAGTTGGATTTGAATGACCTACATCACCATTTCACATATTCATTCTATGCAAAAAAAAAAAAAATGCCAGCAAAACACAGGAGGAGGGAATGGATGTAAGCAAGGAGAAAATAACTGAGAAAGCAGGAAAAAAGTATAGATGAAGGGAGCAGGAGAGTAAAGACTATATTCATGCTATTGGAAAGAATACCCACTCTGCCTGATTAGGAATAGACATAGCACAGTGCCAATTGTGATGGAATGAATTACCAAGCCAATTAAATGTCCTGAGAGCCCACTATGAGCTACATGCCAAAGACAGAGATAAATAAGGTAAGACACCTCTTCTCAAGCAACTCAAGATTTATATGAGAAGACTGATAGCTAAACAATTAAACTGCAATACAATGGGCTAAAATGCTGTAAGAAAAAGGAGCTGTTGAAAGCATTGAGAACACCACCAGAGACAGAGAATCCTTGAGAGGTGTGCTATTTGTGTGCCTTTAGGTAAGTCCCTGAACCTCTCTAGACCCCATCTCTAAAAAGCAATTATATCTGGTTGCTTATCTTTTGAGGTTGGTTTTTAAAAAATCTTTATTGTTGAGAGTATTAAAAAAGTATCCCCACTTTTTTCCCCCCATCACCCTACTTCACCTGGCTTGCCTCCTCTACCTGGTTCAGGCCTGCCCCAGACCTTCACCACCCTGTGTCCATAGGCAATGCATATATGCATATAAATTCTCTGGTTAATCTCTTCCCAGCCCACCTCCCCTCTTCTCGCTGAGATTCCTCAATCTGTTTCATGTTCCCATGCCTCTGGTTCTATTTTATTCATCAATGTATTTTGTTCAATAGATTCCACATATACAAGGTTGCTTTAACAGTCAATGAATTCATAGTTGAAAATGCATTCTGCAAACTGAAAGTCCTATTCCAAGGTATGCGATGGCTGTTTTCCTCTGTTCATTTGGCTAAAGGGCCTGTTGAGTACTTACTTTGTGCACTGGATTCTAATACTGTGGGCTGAGCCCCGACCCTCTCTGGCTCCTCCCTTCCCTCCGCCATCCCAAACTTGAGCACTGCTGTTTGGCTTCCTGCTGCGTGTTGAAGCAGCACACTCACAAACACACAACCTGAAAAATAATATGAAACACTCACCAACTTCAGGTTGCTTCTATCCTTGATGTCCACAGAAGGCAGCAGGGTGAGATCCTGGCTCCCAGGGAGGTTCCCTGCTGGATGGGAGATCTGTTGTCCTCTCCTGGACACCTTCTTTCTCTTGCCCCCCTTGTGCCTACTTCTCTCTACCTGTTACAGACTCTCTGTTTTCTCTGCTTTACGCCTCCTCTTATTTGGGCATTTACACTTCCGTTTGACAACAGAGTAATTACTAAATCTCCAAGAGCATGTCTATGAGGTACTCCGGAGAGGGGGGCGTCTCCAGGAAGGCCTGCAAACCCCTGAAACTGTGTCTTACAGCCCTATCCAGACACAAAAAAAAACTCATTAACTCCCCCTTCCTTCCTCTTCTCTCTCTGTCCTCCTCCCCCCCCCCCCCCCCCCCCCCCCCTCCTGCTTTCCCTTCTTTCCCTCTGATTCAGCAGTTCTCTCCCTCTCCCCTTTCTTCTCCATGGACCTTAAGTCCATGTGCCACTTCTCTTTTTAATCTCCCACCCACACCTCTCCTACAGTTCTTTCCCCTTTTCTCTCCCACCTGCCCTCCCCCGCGGTCTCTCCAGCGAGCATGCTGCCACACTGAGGTTCTGCCTGAACTCTGGGTCTGGACAAGTAACAGCTCAGAACTCCGCTCAGCAGCCGATGACCTCACGGAATTTTGCGCGTGTGATTGGCTGTTTCTGAGCTTATGGCGGGAGACTCTGAAAAGATACCCTTGTTTCTTTGTCCCTCTGCCCCTTCAGGTTGAATTGGGGAAATAGGCCATTGACACTGTGCAGTCACAAAGTGGTTCACGGGCTACCTGCTAGAAAGAGAGAGATTTGTTGTGCCAGAGGAGCAAGCAGAGTCAGTGATAGCAAGTGGGCAATTGGACTGAGGGTGAAGGAGGACACCTTGAGAATTTGAGCACCCAATAGAAGGTAACACTCTGGGAAGGGGGGTGGGGACTTCTGCCCTCACTGTGGAGTCTGTCTTGAGTGGTAGGACCTTACCTGAAACAAATAGAGCTTTGGAATTGGATCGGGTGTTTAATTTCTAGTCTTTGTTCTTCTATGTATATAACCTTGGGCAAGTCACTTCATTCTGTTTCCACTCTGCAAAGTAGCAATGATAATACCAGAGTTCTGATTTTACAGGTTTATTAAAAGGATTAATGTGGAAGTATTTTCTAATGATTACACCTGTTGTTATCTTGGTAGATAATAGAGTGTAGCAGAAGGAATCCTGGATAAGGAATGAAAATCTTTGGTTATCTTTTATTTTCTCTGTAGTGACCTCCACCATGTCACTTCAACCTTTATACGCTTCATTGTGCTCACCTGTGAAGTAGGAGAACTGGACCAGATGACCTCCAGGATCTCTTTTGGCTCTAACATGATATGATTGACTGATAACACTGAGCATCCTACTTTATCACCCCTTGGGAGGAAGAGTTCACTTTCTTTTTCAGTACTTTAGTTAATCTCTCCCTTTTTTGAGAAACCCGCCTTCTCTTGGGTATTCTGGTGAAGCTTTTTATCACAGAGGCCTACCTCACCCCCAGCTCCAAAATGAAAGTACAGATCTCATACAGCAGCAGCATATATGTAGGGCTCATCCTTGATGGAGATTCTCTCCCCAGGCTACTGGCAGGAGCAGAAATTGGAGCTGGGAACTCTGGCTCCACTGGACGAGGCCATCAGCTCCACAGTCTGGAGCACCCCTGACATGCTGGTCAGTCAAGGTGAGAAACCAGGTCCACTCATCTCAGTGTCTCTCAGTGCCCTCAACCATCCTCATATCACCTCCCACTCATGCGGCCTTCGCCCCGTGTTCTACTCCTCTATTTTCCATCTGACATTGTAGTTCTTAGTTCTACGCCAACATCTCTAGCACCTGCTCCTTCCTTCAGTACAGAGACCTCTGTATCCTCTACACCTTTTTTCTTAGAATGATTTCAAGAGTAATGTGTTACTCAGAACAAATAGGTTCTGGAAGATATAGTCAAAGTAGAAATCTTCATAAGGAACCAAGGACAATGGGATTACTTGTCAAAAATCGGAATATAGCTAACAGTAAATGAAACATTTCCCAAACCTTTCATTGAGACATTCACGGAATAGACTACTCCCAAATTTACTCAGCCAGCTCAATCTATGACTCATTAATCTCAAAATCATAGTTTTAATTCTTATTAGATGATTACTTGAGGGGCAGCCCAATGGCATAAGCACTGCATTGAGAGTCAGAAGAATGAAGTTCTAGTCCCAACTGGAATCACTAATAAGTGAATGATCTTAGACCATCACTTCACCTCCATTGTCTCCTTGTTTACATTTGTAAAAGGAGGGAATGGAATCCATGATCCCTGAGATCCCTTTTGGTTCTAATTTTTAGGATTCTAAACACTAACACTTTGTGCTTCAGCTTGGAGACAGCTATCCTGAAGCACTGATACCAACTTCAGCACAGGGCACCTTCCGTCTTCGGGGCACCTTCTTTGCCAGGAACACTCCCTGCGTGTTGGAGATGGAGCGGTGGTGACCGAGAAATAAAGGAATGAGCAGACAGGGGAGGGGTGAGGTCAGTGCCCTAGGAAGCCTAGGGATTGTCTAAGTTACTCAGGGAATATAAGGACTGTGTTTTTTGGCTTCCTATTCAGAGGAGAATAATGCTGGTTAAGTAACTCAGTGCCCTAGAAGAAATACTGTGGAGGATTCGGAATCAGAGCTGGAAGGTGTTGTTTATTTTAGTTCTGTGAAGGTCAGTGCTATTGGGTCACAAAAGTCAGTCCTGAAGATGAGGGAATCAATAATGGGAATCAATCGATTCTGTGGGGAAATGGATGATGCTGGGAGGAGGAAGCCAGTGTCACACAGTTCAAGGGGCTCACAGCTGTGCCTGACTAGAAGGCATATTTGGGATTCATCTGGCTCATCCACATACCTTATTAGTCCTTGTTTTTTTGTTCAACATGACTAAGGAGAGAGGAATGAGAAAACGTAGTTCCATCACGTGGAAGGGAAAACTGTACCCCTTTGCTCTCTGACACCAGGATGATGGTCGGGTTTGCGTTTTGGGAAGCAGGTAGTACTAAACCTGAAGAAATGCGTTAAGGGAGTTGATGAAGGCAGGGAAGTTGTTGCTGGGAGAATTGAAAAGTCCGTGTCAAAATGTTTCAGTTTCTTAAAAATCTGTTTTGTTTGTTTGGTTTGAAGTTTTACCAGCTACCTCTTACATAAATGAACGTGCAATCCAAGAGTTGGCCTGGCCTTCTGTTCACTTTTAGTTTGGGGATTACTAGTCACAACTGCTTCTTCTATTCTTCCTCATATAGGCAGGTGGTGGCAGGAAGGCAAAACATGGAATGACAGATACATACATGTGTTTTCAAAGGTGAACGGTAGACCTCTATCAGAAAAGATATGTGTGGAGTGGTATATATAGATTTGGAAGGCCTGTGTTCCTCTAAGTGTTTGTGGTCATGTCAGTTTATTAAGCAAACATTCAACGAGTAACTTTTTTCTGTGTGTGCAAAACAAGAGGAAATAAGGTCCCAGCACAAGCACCTCTGTTCCTTCCCCCTATTCCTTCCTCCGTGATGCCTTAAGAGACACAGAGACCTGGAGCTTGGATGGTCTGAATTAGATGAGGTGGACTTTGGCCCAGAAATGGGTGGAGGGGCTAGAGCTTGCCCAGGAAACTAACCCTCTTCTACTCCTGCAGACAGTCAGCCCTGGACGTCTGATGAGACAGTGGTGGCTGGTAGCACCGTGGTGCTCAAGTGCCAAGTGAAAAACCATGAAAACTCATCCCTGCAGTGGTCTAACCCTGCTCAGCAGACTCTTTACTTTGGGGAGAAGAGAGGTAGAGTTATTTCTCTCTGTAGGAACCATGGGCTGGGGAGGGGGCTGCAGCATGACGGGAAATGTCCCTGTAGTCCCGAGGCTGAGACATGTGAGGGTATGGCCAATTGAGGAGAGAGCAATCCATGGGCTCCTGAACTGGTTTCAGAGGAACCTCATTACTACAGCTCTGACATAGGCCATGCATGGTCTTGTAGGGTCCTAAGGTGACCCAGCCCCAAAGGAGCAGTAAGAGACAGCTGATGTCAGTGTTGACTTATGTGTCGCACAAGAAAGCCCTTGAGATCCAACTCACTTTTCTGAGTATATCTGAGGCTACTGTGGCCAGTGGCCCAGGAAAGTAACTGAATGACCTAAAGACTGCTCAAATTCAGGAGCAGGTGTTTCCCCCTGCCCCAAATCACACTAGACCCCTCCCCCCCAAAAAAACTGACCTGGGATTGAAGATAAACATGAAAAGTACCAGTAAAAGCCTTGCTTCCCCTTTTCCCCCCACCCCCAGCCCTTCGAGATAATCGGATTCAGCTGGTCAAATCCACACCCCATGAACTCAGCATCAGCATCAGCAACGTGGCCCTGGCGGACGAGGGCGAGTACACCTGCTCCATCTTCACTATGCCTGTGAGAACAGCCAAGGCCCTCATCACTGTGCTGGGTGAGGCTCTGACCCCAGTGTGACTGCAGCATGTTTCTGTGCAAACAGATCTCTCTGGGTGGGTCCCTAAAGGAGCCTAGAGCCAGGCAATCCAGGCCTTTTGGAAAAGTTCAGTCCACGTTTCCTTTGCAATGGAACAAAATGGAAAGAACGCTGATTTCTGATCATCTCTCCTCTATGTTTGTTCTGGGACAAGCCTCTTACTCTCTCTGAGCCTGAATTCCTAACTTGTAACAGAAGAATGATAATGTCAGTTTCACCTGCCTCCAAAGCTTATGTGAGAGAAACATGAGAAGTGCATGAATGTATGATTATAATGCCCAAACTGAATATCCCAGTTGCTTACATGCTCTCCTCCTATATTTTATCCTATATTTCAATTGCCTTCTTTGTTTCCCTGAACTCCATACTATTTCTGTGACCACCCAGTTGTGTGCTGGGTTGTCACGTCACATATCATGTCTCAGGTGTGGTATATCTCCACACTACCTTGCCTCCTCCCCCCAGATCTTTCTTCCTGGTCCTCAGGGAGGAGAGCAATGAGAAAGATATCTATTTTTCTACCAATCACAAACCGAAGTAGGACCCAGGTATCCTGTTCCCCAGAGAGGCCATCGCAGCAGAGAGAGCTGAGTATAACCTCATGGCCTCTCCTTCATATCCTGACTATCTCCTATGCATGGTAGGAATCCCGCAGAAGCCCATAATCACTGGCTACAAGTCAGCATTACAGGAAAAGGAGACAACCACCCTCAAATGCCAGTCTTCTGGGAGCAAACCTGCAGCTCATCTCACCTGGAGGAAGGGTGAGAAAGAGCTTCAGGGTAAGTTCCTCCAGCCTGGGGATCCCAAGAGGAGGTGGTACTGGGAGGAGAGAATGAGAGGGAGGGCACATGTCTATATGTCTGTCTCTGCACACAAGGCCTGATGTAGAAGGGAAAAGTGGGAACGACAGGTATTCTGTCTACACTCATGTCTGTATGTGTGTGCATATTCATTTCACAACTTTCTACGTTTGTCGAAGTTGAAACTGACCATCTGTATGTCTACAGTGGGGCCCACACAAGGTCTGTATGTTAGGGCTCACTCTGTTTCTGTGTGTGTGTGTGTGTGTGTGTGTGTGTGTGTGTGGTGTCTGTTTCTGTACACTAGGAGAACAAACTCGGATACAGGAAGATCCCAACGGTAAAACCTTCACTGTGAGCAGCTCAGTGACATTCCAGGTCACCCGGGAGGATGATGGGGCAGACATCGTATGCTCTGCGAACCATGAATCTCTAGATGGAGCTGACAGATCCACCTCTCAACGCATTGAAGTTTTATGTATGTCATGGGCTTGTGGGTGAAGACAACTCAGGTATGAGATGGGGTGTGGGGAAGAGCAAAGTGGTGGCAGCTGTCCCTGAATGACCAGGCAGATACCTGCTGGGTAGGTGAACATGAAACAAGACAAGTGGTGACAGGACTTGGCCAAGGGTTAGCAAACTTCTGTAAAGGCCCCAGTAGAAAACATTTTAGGCTTTGGGAGTCATAAAGCCTCTGTCTCACCTACTTACCTCTGCTGTTTTTGCAAGAAAGCAGCCATAGACAATATGTAAACAAACAAACATAGCTGTGTTCCAATAAAATTTGATTTATAAAACCATGGAGCTGGCAGGATTTGACCCAATGGATAAGTGTACCAATATATGGAATAGTACAATATGATGCAACCAGCTTGTAAGTTATAGTGGTAACAGTATCAAATCAGGAGTCAAAAGAGGTAGGCTCTAGTCTGCCCTTACCAGCCATGTGATGCCAAGAAAATTAGTTTACCCCCCTGAGCTTGATTCTTTACTTGCTAAATGAGAAGATGAACATGAGGATCACTAAGGCTGCTTCTTGATCTATCGCGCTTTCGATGGCTTCAAGAAAATCCAGATGGCAGGAAACACAATCTCTCTGCCATCATTATTCCCAGACCTTTTCCTACAGTACTCCTCTTTGACTTTTCCTGGAATTCTGACCCCAAATGGCCACTATTACAATCACTACGCCCAACCTTTCCAAGGATCCTCCCCTCCCCATGGGCAGTGAACTTCCCTCCTCACCTGAGGAAATGTGGAAATTCCCAAAAAAGAACTTCTTTCTGAGTGGAGGAACCAAGTGGGAAAGAAAATCCAGTACAAGGGGAGAAGATAAAGAGTAAAATAATGTACCTTTTGTTCCAATTCATCGAAAGGTTGGGTGTTTTCCTAACATGAATAAAACCCGTAACCTCTTTCTTGTGGAAGACACGGGCCTGACTTGAGGGTTATTTAAACCAATTGCTAAGCTCATTGCTGAGACGTGACCATGAGGCAGGCTTGGGGTAGCATCGCTTGCCATTCAGCAGACTCTCCATTTGGAAGCAGACAACCCGGACTCTGGCCAGAGGGCCTCCACTTCCTGTGGGACCGTCACCAAAGCATGTATCCCATTGGCGGCTCCTGCTTGCTTCACTGAATTTCCTTGAGGATAAATGAAACGATACCTATGAATACTGCATCCACTTCAGAGTTCTATGTTGCTGTAATTTGCTTCCCCTGGCCTTGGCCTTGTCCCGGAGTCTGGGGCCTGGCCAGGGCTAAGGAAGGCCCTCCCCCCTGAGTCCCAGAGACTCCTGTTAGGTACCAGACCATCTGGCAGTTCCTTTCCAGGGAGCTTTTTGATCCAACTGTGATCAGTAGTCAGTCAACAAATACTGTACTCCAGGTCCTGTGTTAGAGGCTTCTGAGGCTGGGGGGCCCCTGAACACCCCTTCTCTCACCTGGTCTGGTGCTCTTTGTCCTGTTTTGTTTGACTGAAACACATTCACTAATGATTGTTGAGGTTGGTTCTGTCTTAGGGGAAGCTCAGCCTCTTTCTCTGTTCTTCTGAACCAGCCTCTGGCTGTATTGTTCTACGCGGCCATCTGGCCCTGGCCTCCTCGGCAGCCCTTTGGTGTCAGTGACAGGTGTCATTATTCCTCTGCAGAGCCCATCTATATTGTGTCGGTGCCTGTTTGCAGCCAAAATGTGACCCCCATCTCTTGCTATTTCAAAGCTCTCCCTCCATGTTTGGACGGACCACCAACAATGATGTTTTTTCTTCAAGCATTGCTGCCGGTTCCAGCTCCCTTGCAGAACAGAGAGGATTGAGAGGTTGTGCACTCAATAATCAAGTTCCAGTGTATTTATTCTGTCACAGATATGTATTAAGTCCAATTTATGTTCTGGGCAGTGTGCTAGGCACAATGAACTCGCGATACTCCTTCTCAGCTCTCAGTTAGACATCTCTTGGGTCATCACCAAGGGCAGACCATCCAGAACCCTACCTCTCCAAGGGGGCGATACCAGTCCCTCACACATGCAGTGGCAATAATCATCTTTGCTCATAAGAAGTAGGGGGAACAGCGTCTTTGTTCACAGCCTTCTGGACTCCTGAGGCATGCAGGGGTGGAAGCTGTAACATAGAACAGGATGCTTTTGAGACCAAGGCGATCTGAATGGTGTGGGAGTTTTGCGTTGACACCATTTCCTTCTCCACAGACACGCCAACGGCGAAGATTAGGCCAGACCCTCCACATCCCCGCGAGGGCCAGAAGCTGTTGCTATACTGTGAGGGTCGTGGCAATCCCGTGTAAGAAGATTCGTTCCCTGGCCTCTGGCACGACTCCATACTCTCAGATTGTGCTCTCACATACGCTTCCTATCTCCTCTGTCCTGTCTGATCTCTCACTTCCCCCTGACATTAACAGCATCTATCCTCTGTTTCTACTGCAAAGCAGCAGCAGTGGCGAGGGGCCACTCCCGGTTCCCCGCGGTTCCCATAAGGAACCACGTTACAGTAAGATCTGTAAGATGCAAGTTAGGAAGCCTCCCCTTTCTCCAACTTGAACCCCAAGAGGTCCCCCTTCCCCCGCCTCTGAGCAGCTCAGGGTCTCTGGCCCCTACATCTTCAGCTTCCATCAAACACCCCTGACCTCCCTACTCCCAGTTATTTTTGTTTCCCTTTAGCTCCCTCACCTGTTTTCTTCTGAACACTCAACAGTCCCCAGCAGTACCTATGGGAGAAGGAGGGCAGTGTGCCACCCCTGAAGATAACCCAGGAGAGCGCCCTGATCTTCCCCTTCCTCAACAAGAGTGACAGCGGTACCTACGGCTGCACAGCCACCAGCAACATGGGCAGCTACAAGGCTTACTATACTCTCAATGTGAACGGTGAGCGCGCCTCAGCTTTCCCCCAGCACCCCTCTTCTCTTTCTGTCCATCTTATTCTCATCTTTTCTATCACCTGAGAGCCCCCTCCCCAGACGGTGCTTTGGAGTGGACTTCAGGGACAACAGCCCCCCATGGAGCGCCTGAAGACTCCGCTCCAGATCCACTCTAAAATGTGCAGTAAGGAAAGATCAATAGAATGGAGGGCTCTCAGAGACCTTAGCAATGATGACTCAAGGGACACCATCCTCCAGCCCCTGCACTCACCTGGCAGCAAGAATAATAATTCTGTGTTCGAAGCCCCAGAGCCTCTCAAATATGGGCGTAGATGCATTTCCTTTTGCAACAGGCTCTTCTCAGGGTTGCTTCTCCTGTGACCAGAGAGGAATGTCTACTGCTACTATCTCTTTTCCTACACCTGGTCAAGGCAGGAGACTGGGATAAGTTTGTACTGTGCTGAGAAGTAGTCAGCCTTGTCTCAGATGCCACATCTTCTAGAGGAACGAGGTGATGCTTATTCTCCGAAGGTCTTACCAAAGGGGTGACTATAAAACCCAGTTTCAGGAGAAGAGACAGGCTAACACAGAATTCCCTTTGTGGAGAGTGAGCAGGAGATTTTTTGAAGAACCCAGAGGCAGTGGGGTCATGCCAGAAAGTCTTATAAGCCTGTCCTCAGAATAGGGAAATGCATTGTCAGGGGAACATCAGAGGCTCCCTTGAGTGAAACGTCCATTAAAGCAGGCCTAATCAAGCCTGAGGAGACAAAGTAGAAAAGACAAAATATATAAGGAGTCAATGAGGCATCAAAACAAGCTGAGTCGGTAGAAAAACAGTAGTTCTCCCATGAACAGGTCTGCCAGGGACAAGAGACCTGAGAGTGTCTGGATGGGATGATTCTGACTCCAGGGCCGACCTCAGCCTGTGGGGACTGGCTCAGCACAGCACACAAAGCTAGAAGCCTGGAGCAAGGGCAAGGCACTGAGGGTCCGCATCTGCCCCCGTCTCTCTCCAGATAAACTGTGATGATGATTGGCACTGAGAGCAAGGCCCTATGGTTGGCCTCTTGCTGTTCCTCCCTGCCCTGCGCTGGGAAGCTAGTCCTGTTCCAACTGCTTCCAGTGCTGACACCTAATGGTAGAATGAGTTACTGCATCTTCTTGCAGGAATATCCTAAGCAGTATTGACTCCCACGGGCCTGGAATGAAATTAAATGGCATTCCACCTAGAGACAGGGGCCTGTCTAGAGACAGGGGCCTGTCGTGGATGACCCCAGAGGTCGTGTTGGCCATGGAAACCTATGTTTTTCTAGGGAATTTCCATTTCCCTGGTCTCTAGAATAATTATCCAGGATTTATTTTTAATGTGGACTGTGTCTCACACATTCCCTAGGAGAAAGACAGTGGGTACCTTCCTGCTGCTTTCTCTAACTTATACCATCGCCCCACATCATACTAATGAGCCCCTGGGCCCATCCTTTCCTTCCCTCCCAAGGAGAACATTAAAAACCAGAGCATAAATGTTTTCTTTTTAAATAAGGCGTAAGCAGGCAAGGAACTAAAAAGCTGGCCCAATCAAGCCTGAGGAGACAAAGTAAGAAAGACAAAATATATAATAAGGAGTCAATGAGGCATCAAGACACAAGCTGAGTCTGTGGAAAACAGTAGTTCTCCCACGGGTCATCTATGGTGAGTGTAATTTTGGACACATCAGCACTGTATCCTGGGCCTGTGAGCTGTCTTCTCAGGTATTTGGGAATCCGATATGGCTGGTGCTGTCCTTGGCTTGCCTAGCCCACCTGTGTTGTGGCCATTGATCCTCTGTAGATGCTGCTATGGACAACAGATTCTTTATTCGATGGCAGAGACATCGGCCATCATGGAAGGCATCACAGTGGGATGTCCATAAAGGAAATCTTCAACTCTCCACAAATCTTTGGGTGGTGGGACGTGAACACGCAGCTGCAGACCCTCCTAATGAGACTTGCTAGGGGTTGGGGTTTTGCTGGAACTCTAAACTCATCTGCCAAGAAGGAACAGCTATCCTCCTACAGGGTCCCAGGCTATCATCTTTTGTAAGGTGCTATCTTAGTGCCTGATTCTTGGATCCACCGGTTTTCACTGCTTCTCTATCTCAGGGCAAGGGACTAGTAGGTTGAAAAGCCCCCATGGAGAATCCATCTCAGAATATCAAGCAGACAGAAGAGTAAGAGGGCCATGGAGTATAGGGAAGGGGTACTCTGATAACCCAGAAAGTAGAAGAAAGAAATACAGAAACAGAGAGAAAGAGAGGAAAAGAGAATGTTCAGGAGATGCTTTAAATGCTAAAGTGATGATCTCTGACTTGGCTAAGGTCAAACTTCAGTGTCATGAACTCAACAATGCTATAATATTAGGGCATTTCCCAAGTGACTGTGTGCATTGTCCCTTCCCTCTAGACCCCAGTCCGGTGCCCTCGTCCTCCAGCACCTACCACGCCATCATTGGTGGAATTGTGGCTTTCATCGTCTTTCTGCTGCTCATTCTGTTCATCTTCCTCGGTCACTACTTGATTCGGCACAAAGGTCAGATGCGTGAAGGAAGTGTAAGGAGAACTTGGGCATGGGGGGGAGATGGGTCAGGGGCAGGCAGGTAGGAGCTGGCTGCAGGAAGGGCCTTGGGAGATCCCGTTAGCCCCATGCATGTCTGAGAAAGGAGAATGCAGGACACTCTGCAGCAGTGGAGCACCACCAGCCTCAGTAAAGCCTTACCACTTTTTTGATCATCCAGTAAAATCGAATCTTCCCAGTCAGTTAGCTGCTGCTCCCATGCTGCTCTACCACCAGGGTTTTCTGCTTTAAGCAGAGAACTCTGCAACTCTGCATCTTCTTCCCACTTCTTTATACACTTTCTTCCTTTCTATTTGTTCTCATTTTCCTTGATCATTGATCTCCTTGCCCCTGATCTCCACAATATCTCTTTTCTTTAACCTTCTCTCCTTTATGCACACCATCTTGTACCCTCTCTTCACATGCCTCCCTCTCAGATGCCCCCCTCTGTTATCACTTCTGGCTGTAGCCAGACTACACTGACTAAGTGCCAGCCAGCTCTCAATCGCATTGCACATGGAGCAGACATGGCAGTTTCCTTAGCACTACCTTACATGCACACATGCACACACACATACATACGCTTCCACCCATACACACACACACCCATACACACATATATATACCTGCACACACATATATATACACTTGCAAACACATATACACATATATACACATGCAGGCATGCACACACATGCATGTACACATGTATATACACATAGACACATGCATACACATATGCATACACATATGCATATACAGGCAGACACATACATACAGACTACACACACAGTATTATTTTTTTGCCAGTATTATTGATGAGATTCCCTAATTAAAGGCCGGATTCAGTAATTCATAGGGATGTGGTCAGATGAGGGATGTTGGGAGCAAAATGCTAGTTAGGTCAGGTGAGGAAGAAGAAAGGTCTAAACCAGAGAAATGACAGGAGCAAGGTGTGGATAGGTGGGTGGGAAAGTGGGCAAGGGGGGCTTTGAAGGTTTGGGAACTGCTCCTGGAAAGAGGAGCCTCTATTCCTCCCTAGGAACCTACCTGACTCATGAAGCTAAAGGCTCTGACGATGCCCCCGACGCGGACACAGCCATCATCAACGCAGAAGGCGGGCAGTCAGGCGGGGATGACAAGAAGGAATATTTCATCTAGGGTGGCCACCACTTCCTGCGCCTCTCCAGGGGCCCCATGGGGACTTCTGGGGCCATAACCAACTTGGACTTGTACAGAGCAACCCCAGGGCCGCCCCTCCCGCTTGCTCCCTACCCCCACCCCCTGTACAGAATGTCTGCTTTGGGTGCAGTTTTGTACTTGGTTTGGAATGGGGAGGGAGGAGGGCGAGGGGGGGAGGGAGGGCTGCCCTCAGCCCTTCCCGTGGCTTCTCTGCATTTGGGTTATTATTATTTTTGTAACAATCCCAAATCAAATCTGTCTCCAGGCTGGAGGGGCAGGGGCCCTGGGGTGAGAAGAGCAAAAACCCTGGAGATTTAGGAGGAGAGTGAGGGTGAAGAAGAGGCAAGGACAGGAAAGGAACGGGGCTGGTCTAGTGGGGACCTCACTAGCCCTCCACCCCCTACAACGGAGCAGCTTCCCGGACCTCTCTGGGAACGGGAGGTCGAGAGCAGGAGCCGGAGTGGCCTCTCCTCTGCTGATATTCACACACCTGGAGCTGTGGACAGACACAGGTGCCTCTCGGATACCCCTGTTCCACTTCAACGGGAAAGGAATGAGTGGGGCTCCCTGAGGAGATGTGACCTGCAGATGGCGTGCAGCCACACAGAGACCCAGGGGTTCCACCTGGGGGACGCGGGTCCCTGCCAGGAGGGGTATATTTGGAGAGAAAGGTTGGGAGAGATGGTCTCAGTTATCCCATGTCCCCCATGATGTACGAAGCCAGGCCCTTTACACAGGAGCTGCCCCTGGGGTAGTAGGGCCAGGCTGCCCCTCTTTGCTCCGGCAGCTATGGGAAGGCGCCGCTCCAGGCCATCTGCATCTGCTTCCCTGCCCAGCGGCCCCTCACTGGCACCCAACCACTGGACTGCTGCTCAGCAACCACTCCTCTTACGGCATTGTTCTCCAACTCCTCCCGTCCTGTGCCCCCTGCCCTTCCAGGTCCTAAGCCAGCCCGAGTCCTTCCTTCCTTCCCCAGCAGCCAGACAGATATAACCACAAAAAAAAAATACTAAAGAGAGCTTCACTACACTGAGCTGTTTGCTGCCCAAACAAAGAAAATAATGTGAACTCTGTGAGTGTGTGTGTGTGTGGTGTGTGTGTGTGCGCGCGCGCATGCGTGCGCATGTCTGTGTGAGAGAGACAGCAAGGCGGGTCCTGGGCAGGTGGGCAGGCTGTGGAATGTGTCAAGGAGGGCTTGGGAGTAGAGGATTCCTAGCCAGCTTGGTACCTCCCCTGGGAGGTTGTTTCATCCTGGCATTTTCCATGCCACCCCCGGTGCCCATCTGTCATGGAAAAAACAGTCCCTGGATGTGTGTGTGCTCAGCTGTCCATCTAGTCTCCCCTAAAACACAGAGCATCGAACCTCTGCCTCAGTCTCCCTTCTTGGAGCTATGGAGTCAGTGCCGCAGCCTTTGCTATGCACACCTCAGGCCTCGCCCTGGCCCTGGCCCTGGCCCTGGCCCTAGAACAACTGCCCTTACGTCTGTACCCGGGAGTTGCGGGCTGGAGAGAAACTTTGTCTCCTTCCCATCTCCACCCCTCCTTTTGATTTTCTGTCTTCCTTTGTGGCCTGAGCTGGTTGCCATGGAGATGAGTTGCTCACGCTCCCTGTCCAGCCAGTCACCCTGCCTCAGACCCGGATGCCCCTTGACACCGCTGTCACCCTGTCCAGCGTGTCCTCATGGCTCTGACAACCCAGGGGTGTGCAAAACGGGGGCAGCTGCGTCCAGCAGGTCTGCCCACCCCTTCGGTTCAGGTAGCACCGTTGTGGCTCTCCCAGCAGCTGCTTGGGGCCCTGGGCACCACAGGCAGCCCCTCTCAGCCACGGCTCTCCTCTCCAGCAGCCAGGCAGCCTAGCGCCCAGGCCCGCTGGGCTCCCTGTCTCCTAGCACCCACTTTCAGGAGAATGACTTTTCCTCTGAGCTGAATCACTCTGTCCATATTACACAGAAGCCATATTTGTACTGGGGGAGGGGGAAGAGGGACCATTGTGTTTTGTGTGTCTGTCTGTGGGTCGGGGTGGGGAAGGGAGCAGGGAGGGGATTGTGTATCTTTATAATCTTTCTAACTCTCCTATGCTAATCTCAGAGGGGCACCCTCAATATATCTGGATCTCCGTGTCGCTCAGCTGCCTCCTTCTTGCTGCTCTGGTTCCCGTGGGGATACACGTGTAAGGGCTGCTCTGCTGGTATCCCCTCACCTGGTTCTTTCCGGGGGGTGTGTGCCTCAGCAGGCCACTCCCCCACGGGCATCTCTATATGGAAACAATATAACTCTCCAAGGGAGAGCCGTGTGTCACTCCCTTTGGCTGGGTCCTTGCTTTCCTGAGAGGGTTTGGGCTGAAGCGTCAACAGCTCCCACTGCCTTCCATCAGGCAGGACTGGAGAAGGTGGAGATGAAGGAGAAGATGCTGCCAACATCACCCCAGGACAGGTTCAACAGGCCCCTCAAACTCATTTTTCACACACACACACACACACACACACACACACACACACACCCGTGTTAAACCTGAAACTGGAGCTTGTGTCCTGGGAAGAAAGGGATGGTCTTTGTGAGGTCCCCAATCTTTTGCAATTTGGCTTCCCTGCCGCACCTCCAGGCACCCCTGTGTGAGTGGAAAGGAGCTACTTGGCAGCACCGACGTAGCATCGCACACTTTCTCGGACAAGTGAAGCGGTGTCGCCTAAGCCCTCTCTACGTCACCGTTCTGCCTCGGACACTCCATGATTCACCTCTTCCCATGTCCCATCTAAGTCTCCCTAACTGAAGAAATAAGAGGTGGGGGTGAACGGGGGATGCATCAGCAGAGACCATAGGAAAGTGACTGGGGAGAGGGGCTGCCAAAGAGCCCATGTGTCAGCTCAGGGGGATCCAACTACAGGTAGACACCCTTTCTGTGAGCCATCTGGAGAGAGCCAGAAGCTCTCCCCACCTAAGAGACTCGACACGGTGCTGAGATGTCAGGTGAATGCAGCTGCCACATGGCCTTTGTGGTCCCAACAGAAATAAGAATAGAGATGACCCCAGAGGTAACAGGTCCGTTTGAAAACACGTTGTCCCGTTGCCCCCAGAGCCTGCTCTAACTGGGGTCTCCTTGCTATGGAAGATAACTGCGCCCTCAGGTGATGAGGCAAATGCCCAGCCACTCCCCAAGGTAGCTTCATTGTGCAGCTCACACTGGAACACCCAGACCCCGACCCCGACCCCAACCCCTGCCTCAGCTGTGTGCCCGAGAGACATAGCACACAGACACACACCAATGAGCACCTTCCCCCCACCGAAGAGCTGCCACCCATACACCCCTCAGCGTGTCAGCATCTCGTGGGTCCAACCCTGGCACCACTAACCTCTCACACACACATGGCTATTACTTGATCTTTCGATGGCTCAAGTTCAAGGAGTGGATGAGCAGTGAGAGTCGTCAGCTGCCTTTCCCTCCAACTTCCCAGCATGTCTCTTATCTCTGTCTCACACTTCACCTCTGGCCCCTTCTTCCTTCCTTGTGCTGAAGGAATCCTTCTTCTTGGAAAACCCCTGGCTTCTCTGGCTCCCTGTCCACCTTCAGGAAGATACCCACCTACTGTTCCCCACCTTTTTCCTTTTCCCAGTACAGGTCCCTGCCATTGGAATCCAACCTCAAAACAGGAAGCCTTGGGCCAATGCCCTATGTGGGCCTGAAGTTTAGGCAGGCAGTGGGTGTGGGGGAGAGGCTTCCTGAATGTGCCCCCGCCCGTGCCACCCAGGGGCCCTGCCCAGAACGGATGGCCTTCATTAGTCCCTGGCACTTATCTTGGAACCACAGCAGGTGATAGAACTGCCCCAGCCTTCTCTCTGCCTGCCCTGAGCCCAGGAGTGTCATGGGGAACTGTCTGCACCCGGTGAGTGTGGGGAAGGACCCACAGCCCCCAATTCTGCCCCTAATGCCCGCCTGCCCCTCTCTCTATGTCTTTCCTTCCCTCCTCATTTCTTATCCCTTCCCTCTTCTTCCCTCTCTCCTTCTTACCACTGTCTCCTAGGTCCCTGTCATTTTCCTCCTCATTTGTCTTTCAGTCCGCACCATTCAGCCCCTGGTTACCTGCCCTCTGACCTTCACCTGCCCTCCAGGCTTGCCCACTGCCCTTCCCTCGCTGTTCTAGACTCGGCTGCTCTACAGGCTCCTGAGTCTCAGCTGTGATGCCCTTTGCATCCAATTCCTCCAGCCCCCTTGTTCTCCAGTCCCAGGTTCCCTCTGTCCTTCTCCCCTTCCCTTTCCTTAGTTCCCCGGAGACTCTTCAGTGGGGTGACTGGATGCTGTGATTGTCCCCTCTGGGGGTGTCCTCCAGGCGGACTCCTTTTCCATCTCTGATGAGAACTGGAGTAACTCTACCACTGAAGAGGAATATCCTGCTATGTGGAATGACTCCTACTGGACCGATGACTATGACTTCACCGAACTGGACGCTGTTGCCCCCTGCCGCTCCTGCACCTTGCTCAGCGAGTCCTCGCTGCCTTTCTACGTCCTCGCCAGTGCCCTGGGCATCGCAGCCAGTGCAGCTGTCCTCTTTGCTCTCCTCAGACCTCTCATTTACTGGCCTCTCTGCCCTGGCCGTCAGATCCTCATACAGTTAGCTGTGGGCAGTGCCCTCTTCAGCATCATGGTGCCCCTCCTGGTGCCAGGGCTCAGTGGTACCCGCAACACCTACCTGTGCCACCTGGCCCACTTAGTCTGGTATGGCTCAGCCTTTGCCCAAGCTTTGCTGATAGGCTTCCATGCCTGCCTGCGTCCCAAACTGGGTACAGGTCAGGTCCCAGGCCTCACCCTGGGGCTCACTGTGGGACTCTGGGGAGTGGCTGTCCTAATGGGGCTGCCAGCCACCCTGGCCAGTGACACTTCCAATGGATTCTGCACCCTGGCTTTCCGCCAGAACATTTTGCGGTTTATGCATGCTGCTGCCAGTTTTGCTACCTTTACCTTGTTGCCACTAGGTTTATTAGGAGCCAAGGGGCTGAAAAAGGTATTGGACAGGGGGCCATGTCCCTGGGTTGATGTCCTGTGGTTCTGGTTCATTTTCTGGTGGCCTCACGGAGTCATTTGTTTATGGGACTCCCTAGTGAGGTCCAAGTTCTTGGTGTTGTCATCATGCCTGGTCCAGCAGGCCTTGGACCTGCTGCTGCACCTGACAGAAGCCCTGGCAATACTGCACTGCGTGGCGACACCCCTGCTCCTGGCCCTGTTCTGCCACCAGGCTACACGCACTCCTGTGCCCTCCTTGCCTCTCCCAGGAGGCCAGTCCTCTCATCCGGGCACCCTTGGAGGAAAATCTCAGCTCTCTTCCCAACTGCCAACCTGAATTAAAGTCTATGCTGCTTTTATGAAGCTGGTGGTTCCTTGTTTTGTCTGGAGGTGTAGAGAAGCAGGGGGGAAAAAAATGGAGAGAGATTTCATGCCAGATTGTCCTGCTAGCTTCTGTTTCTCTCGCAGGCTTGAGGAGAGAGTGAATGATGTACAAACACCCTCAGGGCACACAGGTGTTTTCTCCAGGAGTGAGGTTACTGCCATCTCCTCCAAGGGGGAGGGGGAAGGGGACCAGTATATTTGGGAAGCAGCTAAACCTAAAAAACTAGAAGAGATGGCTTAGAAGTTAAGGGGGAAAAAAGAAAAGCTGCTACAGAGAGCAAATGGACGAAAAATAGAAACTGGAGGAAGCGAAGCAGGAAAGAGCAGAGATGTGCCCAGAGCATGACCCCCCTCCCTGTCTGGCCTGTTCTGACTTTCTCTATGCCTTTTGTCTCCCGGACACCTGCTGGCTTTGTTTAGAGATCAGAGTGGTGGTGGCAAAGGTGGAGAGAAGCATCCTGGGACCTCAGGTAGACCAGGGAACATGTCAGGATAATTCTAGAAGCCACTACCTAGGAGTCATGTGTCTCTGAGGTTGATTCCTCAGCATGACCTTAATCCCCGTGTGTGCGCACATGTACGTCTGTCTCGATCTGTTAAAACGGACATCTGTGTTAGATTCATGCATATAGTAACGTTTGCTGACATGTCTGCTTGCATTGCCATCAGTGTGTGAAGTGCACTCACCTGTGTGTGTGATCCCACCTCGCTCAGTCCCCACCCTCCACTTCACTCTACCCTCCATCCTTGTTCTCGGGATGTGGAGTCAGGAAGTATTACACACTCCCTACACATCCGTTTTCTTTAGCCCAGTTTCTGTGCCTAATCTTTTCTGTGCAGGTGGTATTCAGGGAAGTAAAAATCAAGAAGCTGTGCAGCATGTGAAACTCAAAGGGGAAGGGGTCTGACCTGATTCATTTCTGCTTAGAATCCCTCACATTCCCCTTTCAAACCCCAGCTCTTGGGATGAATCCTCCCTCCCCCAACACACACACACACACACACACACACACACACACACATCTTTTCTTCCATCTTTCACACTGTATCCCTATGCCCTGGGCACCTCTTCCTTAAGTATCCCCCTGACTTTTTGGCCGCTAATCTTGATCCTGAAGGCTTTTTCTCCACCCCTACATGGCCACATTTAGGTGATGATTGGAAGAACGATGTATAAGCCCCTATACTGCCTGCAACAAATTCACCCTCTACCCAAGATCTCACACACACACACACACACACACACACACACACACACACATACGCACACAGCCTTTCTTTCTTTAACCCAATTAAGAGCTGGGGAAGCTTGAGAGAGTATCTTACATTTGAATCCAAATGTGGTCTTTCCATTTTTCAAAGGTAAGCTATACCTGGCTTCTGCCCTACACCCGTCCTGCTCCACTCTCTGGGCTTGGAGACAAGTAGCTGAGTGCAGGAGAGGAGCGGAAAGCAGTTAGTGCATCCCGGGCCGGCGATGCCAAAGGCCCCGCGAGGTTCCTTGGTGGGTAGGGTAACAAACCCTCCGAAGCCCCCACCTCCTGTCTCTTAGTAACTACTAGGTTCGCCGCTGATTGGTGCATCCTAAATTGAAAGGTGGGATTTAGGGGCTGATTGAGATGCAAGAGACATTCTGAAAGAGAAAGGAAGAGAAAGAAAATGAAGAAGAAAAATAATTTACAAACCTAACGTATGCTGACAGAGTTCATCAGCGTGCTCCAGTGTGTTCTTTGTCTCTTACTCCCCTTCAGCCTTCCTTCACAAGCCCCCCCCCACCTGTGGTCACTCTCTCTCAGTCCCACCAGACCTTGCCCAGCTCTCTGACAAGGGACAGGAATGACCTAGCTCAGGGGAAGGCAAAGGGGTTGTAAGGACGGAAAACAGGTATTTCCTTTTCATGATCTTTTCCCACCATTGATGAGAAGCACCTGGTAATTAAACGCGGAGATGGCTGGTGTCTACAACTTCAAACTGCCTTTCTACCTGAGCAGGCATTTTTAGAATAGAAATTTCCCTTCTCCCTTCCGCCTTCAAACAAATCTTCCTCTTTCAAATTCTCTGCAACCCCTTCAGGTGAAACTCCCTTTTCTCTTTCCTCCCAAGTGTACTTTGCAGGCTAAAGAAGATATGATAAGGAACCCCACCCTGGCGCCTCGCCGGACCGTCTCCTGAACAACAAACTGCAACTCCTCAAGGCAACCCCAGGCATCTGCTTGACTTCAAAACAATCTCCTCCCAGCCCCAATTGCTCTTCACTCCCAAAAGCCCCCAATAAAAGAGCCACGCACTCTTTCTTCCCTGTCCTTGAACTGCTAGTCAGTGCCTGAGTCCTTTCCCTGTATATGGGGAGAAAAAAAAATCCCTCCCTTTTCTTGCTTCTCTCAGTTGTGAATTCTTTCCCAAGCCTGTGTTACGGGCTCAACAAAAAACCCTAACATGCCCGGCTTGTGTGGCTTAGTGGATGACCGTCAACCCAGGCACCAAGAGGTCGCGGGTTTGATTCCTGGTCAGGACACATGCCCAGGTTGTGGGCCAAATCCCCAGTGGGGGGGGCATGCAGGAGGCAGCCAGTTGATGTCCTCTCTCAGCGATGTTTCTATCTCTCTCTCTCCCTTTCTAAAATCAATAAAGAAAAATAAAATATAAAAAATAATAAAAAAACAAACCCTAACAGGTATCTTTGACTTGCTGAATCTTTCAGTGATGCAGGGGAAGCTGAAGTTAAGAGCACTGGGTCGTCTTATCCATGCCCCAGCTCATGTCTCCAAGTAAAAATCCCTCCTCGCTCGGTCCCGTTAGGGGGAAGCCCAGACAGTTCAGCAGTGATCATGTCTCTCACGAAGGAAAGCAGAAGCCCAAGCCCAAGCCTAGAAGAGGTCAGGGTTGGCTGGAAACCCCTGAAGTTATTTTCTCCCCATGCAACCCCTGCCCGCTTTTCCCCAGTTCCTTTAGGGGCCCGTCTCTGCCTGTCATTATATAAGCTGCATTTAAATAGTTCTTTGGAAAGTCTAACCCTGACCTCAGTTATTTCTCCAAGGCTTCCCTCAGAGTTCTGTTACCCCAGCCCATTTAACCCCCTTCAACCGTCTTCTGAATCTGGCATCTTGTATGCCACCCTTCAGGAATACAAATCTTGTTTTCTTAGAACCCTGAAGAATTGAACCTCGGGGTTGGCAAGGACTTAGCTGTGTATGAGTTATTGAGCCTCCTGACTAAAGAAAATATCCCCGCAGAGAGATGGAAGCAGGGGCAGGATCCTGGGGAAGGTGGGGCTGCATTGCTTCTTTAAGGAGAGACTTGTTTTTTTGTGTGTGTGTTTTTTTCTGTATTGATTTTTAGAGAGAGGGGGAGAGAGAGATTGAAACATGGATGAGAGAGAACATGGATTGACCACCTCCTGCATGCCCCCCACTGAGGACCGGGCCCACAACCTGGGCATGTGCCCTGACTAGGAGTGGAACTGGCAACCGCTGGGTGCCTGGGTCGATGCTCAACCACTGAGTCACACCGGCCAGGCGAGAGACTTAGTTTTTAAGGGAAGGTTGAAGATCACATTGAAGCCCATTGTTCATTTATTCCAAGCGCAGGCCCCTCCCAGAGGATTTAGGAAACAAATTGCTAGTTCTCATTCCTTTTTATCTGCCCCTTGTTCCTTTTGTGCCCCCAGCCTCATCCTCACCTCTCTTCAGAAGCCACCCTCGGAGGAATTCTAATTGAAACCTTTACTGGGATTTTAAACCCAATTCATCGCCAACTCTAATTGCCAGGGATTTGCAAGAAAACCATCATATACTATCTAATTATTCTGACATCAGCAGCCCTCTGTCTGGGCACAAGAAGAATCGCAGTTTTAATTAACAATACATCTTGCAGAGGGATACGATGGCTTAGGTTAATTAACAAGTTCAAGTTCTTCTAAATCATCTCTACACATCTTCTAGGTGGTTTGGGCAGGAAGGGTGTGAGGGAATTTAAAAATCAGTGCAGCAACAATGCATGTTAGCTTTTATCTTTCCTGTAACTATTTGGTGAATCTTCAAGAGAGAAAGGCAGTTGAAAATGGGTTTGGGGGGATTTGGAGGCAGAGTTTTAGGGGGGGGGGTTAAACACCATTATGTCACATTTAGATTTAGGAAACATTTTAGACATATTTGTATAAATAAGAAAAAAAAAGTCCCTGTAGTTTTGAAATAACTCTAGTGCATTTTCCAGTTTGTGAAGTTGGTTTCTAGCATGAGAATCCCAACTTCCCCTCATTGCCCATTTCTCCTCACCTTTCTGTATATGTTCCTACCACATTTGGGGGACCCTTTAAGCTGCCTACTCCCTAAGATTTCACAGATAGTGTTCCAAGTTCCACTTGCCCTTCTCAAGGATGAGTGTACTTTTCCCACAGTAGTTCTCCGAACCCGGGGAGAATACGCTGTGCTTGGCTCCACACTGCATCCTTCTGACGGATCTGGGTTTTTCCTTCTCCCTCTGAATTAGGTCTTATTACTTTTGGGGGGAAGAGGGATGGATTATAAGTCTCTTGGAAAATGTAATGAAAGTTATGAAGTCTCTCTTTAGGAAAATATAGTATTACACCCCAAATGTGTCATTTGGTTCTTCCCTGCTGCACTTAGGGTTAATCTCAAATGCTTTCGCCGCCCAGCGGGACCTCCATGGCCAAGCTGCGGCTTTGTCTCCCCTTGCTCACCAAGCTCCAGAGGCCCCGTGGCCTGAAGAACTGGCTGTTCTTTGAATGAGCAAATCCTGTTTCCAGTCTAAGATTGCTCTACGCTCTCTTCTACGTGGAACACCCCTTTCTGTGTTATTTATGTTACCGCTATAATTGGGATCTCAGCGCAAATCACCTCCAAGAGTGACGTCCCTGACATCCAATGGGATGGAGCCCCGCTCCCCCATGCTCTCAGTGATTCTTCGCCAATCAGTACACCTGGGGTGCTTTCAGTGTGGCCTTGATCCCACACTGGGAT